CCAATAATACATAGACACGATCATCATCATTTATATACACCTGTTGACAGAGGGGTCATCCTAAAAATAAATTTCCATCTTGGATGGTCAGTTGTAAAAGAGCTATTTTTGTGCTGGAATGTCGACCATCTCCCATTGGTTTTGTTGTCTCCTCTAGCTGTTGAGAGCGCATGCTCCGATGCTGATTCGCACATCAATCCTTAAATCCAGTCGTTCACCTCCACTCGCTAATACCTACTGCTGCATCTCCAGGGCAGCCAGGGGCCTTCCAACGTTTCATTGCAATCGAGACTAAGCATTTCACATTTCGTAAGGAAACATACCAAAGGCCAGGTGCACGAATTGCCTTCCCCCCCAACGGCTTTGAGCTTTACAATGAAGTCTTGATGAAGCTCTTACTGTCTCTCAGTCCCGAAGCCAGTCTCAGTCTGTCTCGCTGCTGCTGCTGCTCATTACACCCAGTCTGGGAGCTCATGCATCTGACGCACGCAATGCGACGCCGGCAATTTCAATTAAAGGGACCCTGTCTGTCTTAACCGAAAAATATGGCTCCTCCAGCAAATATTCCTAAAATCCAATAGCATTCTGGGAGATTGTACATGCCCACTTCATAGCAAAATAGATCCAATTTACAACTGAAATAAAATGAAGAGCTGGGAATCTGAAACACAAACAAAATTGCTGGAGAAACTCAGCAGGTCTGGCAGCAATGCACTCTGCTTTTTCTCCACAGATGCTGCCAGACCTGCTGAGTTTCTTAAACAATTTCTGCTTTTGAACTGAGTGTGCAAGCGAAGCAATCAGAAGCTGAATTTTTTTTTGTTGTGATTGCTTTGTGATCCAGAAATGATATTCCAATTGTTTTCAGCTCACCTTAAAATGCCATTTCTGACTCTATAAAGTTATTTGGAAGAGCTTTTCTCTCCCTTTTGCACTTTTTAAAATTTACTCATGAGTTGTGGGCATCATTGTCTGGGCCAACATTTATTGCCCATTCCCAGTTTCCCTCAAGAACATGGGAGGAGCTGTTTTCTTGAATAGTTGCATCTATGCTGTGTAGGTACAGCAGGTACCCACAGAGCTGTTTGGAAGCAGGTTCCAGGTTCAAAGTGAAGGAGCAGCAATGCGCTTCCAAGACAGAATGTTGTGTGTGTCTTGGAGATGAACTTTCATACAACATAAAATTTAAAATCATAAAACATAAAAGGCAAAATTACAATTAAAATAAAATAAGGCAGTCACAATATGGAAGAACTTAACTCTCTATCAGAACGTTACTTCTATTTAAAAGACGGGATCTACATTCTTCTTACTTTGCAAAGTGTTAATTTTGCTTCAGCTCTCTTACATCTGAATCAAAAGGTCGTAATTCCAGTCCTACTCAAGCGTAAGTCAGGAATACTATTCCAATGTCCATGTATTTTGGATGAGATATTACACATAATA